ATCTTGGTCATTCCTTTGGTCACTAACTGATCAAAACCCAAAAAAAATTCGTCTTCATTTCCCCTTCCCCAGTGTCAGAACATCAGATAGGAAAGGGGAGTCCCAATTTTCCATGAGCGAGAGCGACTTGCGGAGGATGGTGAACAAGGGTAACTGAGCCGGGGGTCCCACAAACTATCGGGGGGCCCCAGATTTTTTTTTTATGTGCACAACCCCCCCATGCAGCCCTTTTCTCACATTAGGCCTATGAGGGTTTCGCGTAAATTTTATGTTTTTAAATTTTGGCGAGCTACGGTTTTTACACCAAAGGGAACCGTAATCTATGGGACGGACCCGAAAAGGTTTGTGAGTTTAGTGAGTCAAAAAATTTAATATTGAAGTATAGCAATGAATTCCTTATAGATCTTGTAGTAATTGTAATCGTATCATCCATATATTATATTAGGTCCCCGGTCATTGGCTCATTTATATATGTGTGAATCCTTTATGCGTGTGAACGCTTCACTCCTGGGGGTTTCCCTTTTCAGTTCTTCACGCTTTTGGGCCCACGGCAGACAACAGGGTTTGGGGCCCCCCCCTCACACTCTGCAATATAGTGTTTCCATCCAATGAGTGTGTTTTTTCTCCAACCATCACATCTCCACAACCCCACAACAAAATGGGTGGCAGCGGGGGATTTTTAATTCTGACTTTTTTTAGTGATTTTTAGGTTAAATTTTTATTAGTGGGGGCCCATTTCATGCGGCTTGGCCCGCCGAGACAAGTGACGCTTCACATCCCAGCAAAAACGTCCAAAAGCCATTAAATGGATGTTGGGGCTGCTCAGGCCGCACGGACACGTTTCCGGGGAAAGACTTATACAGAGTTTTTAGTGGTTCACCAACCAATAGTTTGATGAAAAAACGTTTTTTTTTCTGAAATTAAATTTTTTCCAAAGACAACTTAACTGGGGGTCCACTGTATTAACCTTAAACTTTCCAAACTAGATCTACTTTCCTTGCTGGCGCCTGAAATTTTTAAAAATAAAAAAATTGTTTTTTTTTTTAAAAAAGAAAACACTTTTCGCATGTTATAGGATTAAAAAAAATTTAGGGTTAGTACTTCCGAATTAAACTGTGAAATTGGCTTGGATGCCACCTTCCCCAAAATTGACTCCTGCCCTTGCAGAAGTGTTGCCGATATAGCTTTTTTTCTCGTTTTTATTTTTTTTTATATATTTTTTATGTTCTGATAATTACAATTTTAAAAAATTCTTGTAATTTCATAGCCAAAATTTTTTCTGAACTTATTAGGTACTCAGATAGTCACAATCCTGTGACAGGGGAACATTTACACCTTTTGGGGATTTACATTGTCTAGAAAATATACAAAATATTTATAGATCCCAGAATGTTTTAGAACCGTGGCATACACCTTTTAAGTGGTGTTTGAAAGGGATGCACTCAATGTCACAACACTGTGACAGATAAAATTTTAAACCCGTTTGGGGTTTTTTAATATTGTCTAAAATAATACAAGTATTAAGGTCCCACAATGTTTTAGAAACCCTGGCATATACCTTGAAGCTGGTGTTAGAAAAAACATCCCCATACAGTGGACCCCCGACCAACGATGGCATCGATTAACGATAAATCGACTAGCGATCATTTTAACGCAAAAATTTTTTCCTCGGGCTAGCGTAAAAAACTCAACCAACACTATTCGTTCCCTCTGAGACGGTCCACTTCTGGCCATTTTTTACAACCAGCCAGCCACCGTGTCGCTTCAAATACAATCGGGGAAAATTTTATATTACACAGCCCTTTTTTGTGATTGCACCCGCAATCACCATGGGCCCCAAGAAAAATTTTGCCAAAACCCCACAGCAAAAAGGGTGAGAATTACTATGATTGAAGAAAGAGATCATTTCTAAGTATGAAAGTGGGGGGCGGCTCCGAGCTGGCCAGGGTTTACACAAAACCCCCAACAACCATCGCAATTGTGGCCAGAAAACGGAAACAAGGAAGCGTTCTTGCAAAGGTGCATTGTTTCGAAATGAGATGCAATTTCTCGAAATGTTGAAGATGTTATTTGGTGTGGGGTAAACGAAAAACAGATGCAAATAGCATCTCTAAAAAAAAAAAACGTCATAGTGAAAAGGCTAGGAAAATTGCATGAATTTAATTAAAAAAAATGCCAGCAATAGTGGTGAGTGGTGAATTTTTGGCCAGCAAAAGGGTTTTGGTTTTTAGAATTTAAAAAAGGGAAGGGAAGTAACCCCGGAAAAGGACTTGCCACCTCAAATTCCCAATGGAAGGGGATTCCCCTTTTAACATAAGCCATCAACATCTCCCCCCCTCCCTTCCACAATCATCACCAACTTTAAAAAAGGTAAGTGTCATGTAACTGTGCATGTCTTCTTCAGTTTGTGTGTATTAAAATTAATATTTCATGTGGTAAAAACAATTTTTTTTTCATACTTTGGGGTGTCCTACACGGATTAATTTGATTTCCATTATTTCTTATGGGGAAAATTAACTTGACTAACGATAATTTTGACTAACGATGAGCTCTCAGGAACGGATTAATAGTGTTAGTCGAGGGTCCACTGTACTGTTGACAGCCTAGTGACATTTGATAATTGCCCACTGCTCCAGCTAACCCTCACTGTATTTGTTATCACTGTTACACACAAACATGTCTTGTCTCTCTGTCTATTTGTCTGTCTATATGTCTGTCTATCTGTCTCTGTCTGTCTGCCTGCCTGTCTCTCTGTCTCTGCTTATCTGTCTTTCTGTCTGCCTGGAGTATACCTATATCACACTCCTTGAATATTCGTGTTATGACATCTGTTATCAGCTCGGGAACATTTGATAAATGGGTGCTCAGGGGAACCCTGGCTTTATTTGTTTTCACTGATACACACAAACATGTTTCTGTCTATCTGTCTGTCTGTCTGTCTCTCTGTCTGTCTATCTTTGCCTGTCTATCTTTGCCTGGAATTTTTGCTTTATCCTAGGTAATTTACACTATGTATAATAACTGTACTTTTGTGTACGTGTGAGACAGAGATATAGATAGAGATATAGATAGAGATATAGATAGAGATATAGATAGAGATATAGATAGAGATATAGATAGAGATATAGATAGAGATATAGAGATATAGATAGAGATATAGATAGAGATATAGATAGAGATATAGATAGAGATATAGATAGAGATATAGATAGATATGTAGATAGATATGTAGATAGATATGTAGATAGAGATATAGACAGATAGAGATATAGAGAGACAATCAGAGACAGCCAAAGCAAGCCAGCCGGCCAGCCTGCCGAATACATAAGAACATAAGAAAGAAGGAACACTGCAGCAGGCCTACTGGCCCATGCAAGGCAGGTACATGTCGCCTTCCCCCCAGCTTAGACCAATGACCCACCTAGTCAGGTCACATCCATTAAAGGAAGGAGCATGACATCAGACCTAGTACACAGCAGTCAGGTCCAGCTCACACCCATCCACGCTCACTCATGTATTTATCTAACCTATTTTTACTTTCCTCTTAAAATGGGAGTGTTAATGTGACATGGCATCAGTGCTCTAGCTGGTGCTCAATTGAACTGGTGCTCCCACAAGGTACTAAGTGCTTCCAGATTTTTTTAATAGTGCACACACTGAGTGCACACACCCATTCTTTCATGTCTAGGTGACTCAAGCCTATTGTGCCAAATTTGAAGGAATGAAAAATAAAACGTTGATTATGTTTTGAGCGCTACGCGTGCAAAGGTACATCTACATTTGAACAGTTTAAGGGTTAATAACACAGAAACATGATATATACTCTAAAATGAATAAAATATGTCATTACGTAAGTGGAGTGGTGGTAGTGGTGGTGGTGTTGGGTTTATAAGGGCCAGTGACAGCATAAGCCGTACATATAGTGTTGGTGGTGGTGGCAGTGTCGTCATTGGGCCCTATATATCTCAAACAACAATGGAGGAGTTAGTTTTGTGTTGTCATTTTTCTATTGCTTAATCGCTTAACTTACTTGCTACACTGTTAATGCTACACTTTATTGCTGGCTGGCGCTGTAGTCTTTATTGACTCCTGCTGCTTTAGTATCGTACATATTGTAGAATCACTGAAGAAGGCACATTCTCCCCTCTTTCTCAGCCCTTTACTAAAGGGCTGGCTGGCACTAGGAACTTTCTTTGGGCCCATGGTGTCTTATTTCACAGTCACAATTAATAAACAAGCACCAAAAACAAGGGATTATTACGAAATGTTTTAGAATGCGCGAAGTAATGCTCACCTGACCATTGAGAGAAGCGGACTGAGACGTGTAGTGGCAGCATCCCTGGGCGGGTGGATGCGTATCATACGTCTAATAATCAGAGCAAAGTCTGATATTCGGAGAAAAATTTCGCACAAAAATGGTCTGAAAACTGAAACGCTCAATAACTGGAGCATGTGAAAACCAGGGTTCCACTGTATTATAGGATGGAGTCAGGTGGAGGAATGCTGGGTCAGGTGGAGAATGTTGTGTGTGACAATCTTCCGAGTAGGGTGATAGAGGCTAGGACCTTGGGAAGCTTTAAAAAAAGAGATTGGATAAGTATATGAGTAGACGTTCTGCATTGTGCCATTCTTATGTTCTTGTGTGGGATAATGATGAAGAACGATGAGGAACACAAGAATGGAGGAACACTGCAGAAGGTCTACTCATACTTAACCAATCTCTTTTTAAAGTTACCCAAGGTCCTAGCCTCTATCGCCCTACTATGAAGATTGTCACATACAGCATTCTCCACCTGGGCCAGCATTCTCCACATGACTCCTTCCTATAAATACTCACATACCTTTTACCCAGGTAGATCTGTTTATGACTTGATAAAGCCCACTGTGTGGGCAAAACTTTGTCAATAAAGGATCACATTATAGTGCTTATGTGTTTATTTTTCCATTGTGTTGGTATTTTATACCATTTATTTCCATCATCTTGTGTTGTTTATTCACAGGATTGTTAACTATTGTCAGACAAGACTTACAAGAACATCTGTAAGATATCTGATACTGATATTTGTCACCTCATCTGTATCATCAGACCTGCACACCAAGCAGTGGGCTCCATATCTGAGATGTATAGCAACACGTATCTCCTGTTTCCAGCTGGTTCACAGGTATGCATATATGCAGTAGTTTTTCAAACGGTTTGTGCACAGTAATGTATATTTGTCAGTTATATGTAGTGATAGAAGGGAAGGTCTCTAAGGATTGGAAAAGGCTTTCTATAGGTATAAGGAACAAGGAAACTAGAGAAAAAGTAATAAGTACAGTGGACCCTCGCATACTGTTGGCATCACATAACGTTAAATCCGCATACCGATACATTTTATCACTAAAATTTTGCCTTGCATACCGCTAAAAAACTCGCTCAACGCTATTCGTCCGAGAGGCGTCTAATGTGCGGCCTGAGCCAGCCTCACATGTTCCGTCGGTGGCATTGTTTACAAGCCAGCCTCCGCGGTAACATCCAAGCATACAATCGGAACATTTCGTATTATTACAGCGTTTTTGGTGATTTCATCTGCAAAATAAGTGACCATGGGCCCCAAGAAAGCTTCTAGTGCTAACCCTGTGCTAAAAAGGGTGAGAAATACTATCATACCACAGTCAGATGCTGCTGCACCACAGTCAGCTGTTGATGGACCAGTCAGCTGTTGCTGGATCAGTCAGCTGCTGCTGCACTATGATCAGCTGTTGCTGGACCAGTCACCTGTTGCTGGCTCAGTCAGCTGCTGCTGCACCACAATCAGCTGTTGCTGGACCAGTCAGCTGTTGCTGGATCAGTCAGCTGCTGCTGCACCACAATCAGCTGTTGCTGGACCAGTCAGCTGTTGCTGGACCAGTCAGCTGTTGCTGGACCAGTCAGCTGTTGCTGGATCAGTCAGCTGCTGCTACACCACGATCAGCTGTTGCTGGATCAGTCAGCTGCTGCTGCACTGCGATCAGCTGTTGCTGGATCAGTCAGCTGCTGCTGCACCATGATCAGCTGTTGCTGGACCAGTCAGCTGTTGCTGGATCAGTCAGCTGCTGCTGCACCACGATCAGCTGTTGCTGGACCAGTCAGCTGTTGCTGGATCAGTCAGCTGCTGCTACACCACGATCAGCTGTTGCTGGATCAGTCAGCTGCTGCTGCACTGCGATCAGCTGTTGCTGGACCAGTCAGCTGTTGCTGGATCAGTCAGCTGCTGCTGCACCATGATCAGCTGTTGCTGGACCAGTCAGCTGTTGCTGGATCAGTCAGCTGCTGCTACACCACGATCAGCTGTTGCTGGATCAGTCAGCTGCTGCTGCACTGCGATCAGCTATTGCTGGACCAGTCAGCTGTTGCTGGATCAGTCAGCTGCTGCTGCACCATGATCAGCTGTTCCTGGACCAGTCAGCTGTTGCTGGATCAGTCAGCTGCTGCTGCACCACGATCAGCTGTTGCTGGACCAGTCAGCTGTTGCTGGATCAGTCAGCTGCTGCTACACCACGATCAGCTGTTGCTGGATCAGTCAGCTGCTGCTGGTGACCAGTCAGCTGTTGCTGGATCAGTCAGCTGCTGCTGCACTACGATCAGCTGTTGCTGGATCAGTCAGCTGCTGCTGCACCACGATCAGCTGTTGCTAGACCAGTCAGCTGTTGCTGGATCGGTCAGCTGCTGCTGCACCACGATCAGCTGTTGCTGGACCAGTCAGCTGTTGCTGGATCAGTCAGCTGCTGCTGCACCACGTTCAGCTGTTGCTGGATCAGTCAGCTGTTGCTGGATCAGTCACCTGTTGCTGGATCAGTCAGCTGTTGCTGGACCAGTCAGCTGTTGCTGGACTAGTCAGCTGTTGCTGGATCAGTCAGCTGTTGCTGGATCAGTCAGCTGTTGCTGGATCAGTCAGCTGTTGCTGGATCAGTCAGCTGTTGCTGGACCAGTCAGCTGTTGCTGGACCAGTCAGCTGTTGCTGGATCAGTCAGCTGCTGCTGCACCACGGTCAGCTGCTGTTGCACCACCATCAGCTGTTTCTGAACATGACTCGTCCCGAGCCTGTCCCGAACCTGTCCGTCCAGCCTGAGCGCCTGCCTTCCCGTCATTGTTTACAAGCCAGGGTGGCCGGTTGCATGCATACATTTGATACATTTTGTATTATTCCATTATTTATAGTGCTTGTAACTGCTAAATAAGCCACCATGGGCCCAAAGAAAGCTTCTAGTGCCAACCCTGTGGTAAAAAGGGTGATAAATACTATCGTACCACAGTCAGCTGCTTCACCATGGTCAGCTGTTGCTGCACCACAGCTGCTGCTGCACCATGGTCACTGTTGCTGCACCACAGTCAGCTGTTGTTGTTGCTGCACCACCATCAGCTGTATTACTCGAAGACGTGGAGAGTCTTGTTGGTGTGGCTTAACGTGAAACAATTACCGAGAAACGATTAACCCTGGAGGGTTAGCCACCCAGGATAACCCAAGAAAGTCAGTGCATCATCGAGGACTGTCTAACTTATTTCCATTGGGGTCCTTAATCTTGTCCCCCAGGATGCGACCCACAACAGTTGACTAACACCCAGGTGAATAGGAAAAAAATGCCTGGAACTAGTGCTCATATTGGTGAGGTTAGTGGGGAGGATGTGGAAGAGTTGGTGGAGGAGGACAATGAAGAACTAACCACTGATGAGCTGCTAGATCATTTTCAACAGTAAGAGGCCACACCTGAGGAAACTGCTCCGGAGGAGGGGATAGAGAAATTGAAGAAGTTGCTTACTTCAAAGATTAAGGAAATGTGTGCAATGTGGCTTAAAGTGCAAACCTTTTTTGATGAAAATCACCCTCACACAGCTATTGCAAGCTGTGCTGGTGACTATTACACTGACAATGTTGCGAAACACTTTAGGAAAGTCATAAAGGAACGAGAGGTACAGGCCTCTATGGACAGATATGTTGTGCGACAGAGGTCCAGTGACTCTCAAGCTGGTCCTAGTGGCATTAAAAGAAGAAGGGAAGTAACCCTGGAAAAGGACTTGACACCTCAAGTCCTAATGGAGGGGGATTCCCCTTCTAAACACTAAGACCATCAACACACTCCCCTCCTTCCATCCCATCAATCATCACCAGATCTTCAATAAAGGTAAGTGTCATGTAACTGTGCATGTCTTCTTCAGTTTGTGTGCATTAAAATTAATATTTCATGTGGTAAAATTTTTTTTTTTTTCATACTTTTGGGTGTCTTGCAAGGATTAATTTGATTTCCATTATTTCTTATGGGGAAAATTAATTCACATGACGATAATTTCGCATAACATTGAGCTCTCAGGAACGGATTAATAGCACTATGCGAGGGTCCACTGTATAGGGAAATAAATGTGTTTATTATACCAGATAAAACGTACAATTGAGCTATTATTAAAGGAGTTAAGAGAAAGACTGAAAGTAGTTGTGTATTAGAATAAGGAGAATTTAGAAAGAGAGGTGATTTGTGGGCCAAATGTTTACATTAAAGTATTTATGTGAGCATTATTTAGAGGTAGGGAACTGCTTGTTGCATTTATGGGTTTAACGAGGTGTATAAAGGAACAGTGTGGCAGGTGTTTGCAAATATATGAAATAGGTGATAGATCATTAACCCTTTGACTCTTTCAGTCGCATATATACGTCTTACAAGCCAGTGTTTTTGATGTATTTATACTCCAAATTTCTAGTGGCTTTAAATCAAATGGGAGAAAGCTGGTAGACCTACATGTGAGAGAATGGGCCTGTGTGGTCAGTGTGCACAGTATAAAAAAAATCCTGCAGCACCTCCGACCATGTTTTTGGATTAATGCCGACTTTGAGGTGTATATTTATATAGTATTTATGGTTGTATTCTCGTTTTCTTGGTCTCATTTGATAGCATGGAAGACATATTACAGTAATAGAGATTATTTTGATTGGTTTTACGATGAAAAGGACCTTGAAATTGGGTTCAAAGTAACGGAGATGTTCGATTTTTGCCAATGTTCAAGAGTAAACAAATGACATTGTCCAATAAGTGTCCAACTAGCCATTCTAATATGCAGTCATGAATGGGTTGACATTATTTATACAATTATTACAATAATGCAGTAGTCTGCATAACAGTAAATCTTGTTTTTTGTTTGAATAAAAATTCAAAATAGAAAGCAAGAGTAATATAGAGACACTTATGCAACATATGGGAATCTTTATTGAAGAAACATTTTGCCACACAGTGGCTTCAGTCCAATACAAATCAGAAGGGTGTAAGGAGAGTAGGAGTTTGAGGTAATCAGTCCCTCAGCCTGGAGTTGATGTGTTCAGTCCATCAGTCTTGTAGAAAGTACAGCATAGGGCCATAGAAGTGGCTTATATACTGTTGTCAGGTGAGGCGAAGCAGGAGGCGGGGTCATAGTGGTACCATCCACTAGTCAAAGTAGGTCTCCGTCCAAAAGTTGGACAAGGTTCAAGAATTCTTTGTATCAAGATCCCATGATGTTGCAGTGTCTGACAGATGTGACAAATAGTTAAAAAGATTGAGATACTTACGCAACATATGGGAATCTTTACTGAAGAAACGTTTTGCCACACAGTGGCTTCATCAGTCCATTGCAAATCAGAAGGGTGTAAAGAGAGGAGTAGTTTGAGGTAATCACTCCCTCAGCCTGGAGTCGAGGGACTGATTACCTCAAACTCCTCTTCTCCTTACACCCTTCTGATTTGTATTGGACTGATAAAGCCACTGTGTGGCAAAACGTTTCTTCAATAAAGATTCCCATATGTTGCATAAGTGTCTCAATCTTCAACTTGTCGGTTTTAAAACCATTTATCACAAGAGTAATACAACAGGGGCCTGGAGACGTGACTGATAAACAGAGAAAATGTTATATTAGTGCCCGGAATGTCTGCATTATTCATTCTGGACCCTATTTTGAAATTGGCATCGTTTTTAATTTGCATAAAATTGACCAAATTGCCAATTTCTGATCACTTTATTGGGTAGTTGAAATAGGTAAATGGTCGGTTTGGGCAACTGGAACAACGGAATTGGCCAAAAATAGGGCTCAAAGTGGGTGAAATCGCCGATGCATAAATATCGCAGAGATCACTAACTTCGCAACAGCGTAATTCCACGAGTTTTCAATCAAATTTCGTAC